CCTTGGTGGGTTCCCTTGCCTGTCCATTTGCAGGAGGAAGAGCCAGACAAGACCCCCCCTCCTTGCCACTGTCCAAAATGTCTGGCTATCACAGTTCCCCTGAACAATGACAAACATGATTTTGTTAAAACAAACTAAGGAAGAATTGGCCTTTGAGCTGACAGGCCATCCTGCTGACACCTCGTGTGGAACCTGAACCCAAACGGGGAGGCAGCTGGCAGGACTTGTGCCGAAGTACAAGGCCTCTTGTGCGGCTGCCCTTTCTCTTGGCACGTGAGGGTGGCCAGGTCCTTCCTTGCGGCTTGTGGGCTTCACAGCCTGTTTTTGTGCGATGAAAGAGCGGAGGGCCACAGAACACACAGCCAGATGGGAGGAAATGTGTCACTTGACACACTCCCTGTTCTCTCTCCGCATTGAGCAAGACCTCCGTAGTAACTGGCTTTGTTTATTTTGTGTGTATCCGATACATCTCTCTGATCAGAGAGGGACAAAGAAGTGACCTACTGTAGGTCTGCTTTGTAAGGTGTTTATTCCCCCCACCCACCCTTCAAATAATAACTTGCAATGCTTCCCATTGTTCTGAATTCTTTTGATCTGGAACAGGCATGGGCAAAGGTGTGCACCCATTCCAAGTCCTTGTGACCAGAAACCCTTTAACCCCTGGTGATGCCAGGGACTGAATCAGGGGACAGGGTTTTCTCCAGCACAAAGCCTGGACTCTGGCCCTTCACCCGTGACAGTGTCTGGAGGCGACCTCCATTTGTCCCTCGGGGAAGCCTAGAAAGCTTGCATGTGCCATTTGATGGCCTCTTGTGATCTTCTGACTCCCAATTAAAAAAGAAAATCTAACCTAAAATGCAGATTTTTCCCCCCTCTAGGGCAGGACTGATGTTTTGGGGACCTTGATGTTATGTATCCTGTTAGAACTCTTTTCCAAAGCTGGAAATGTCAACAGGGTTATTTATGATTCTGATAAAAGGTACGTGCACACACACATACCATGAGGTTTGTTTTGTTTTTTGTCGGGTGGCTGGCATGAAATGTCCAATTTTCTCTCCTGGAGGAGAAGGCCCACGTGCAGCTCAAGATCCATGTTCTGCCACTCCTTTTTGGCATGAAACACACAAGGTGAGGGAAGAGAAAGTGGGTCTGGTTAGGGAAAGTCTAAGAGAACGGGCAGCCTGTGGATGGCTTCTGAAAACTTGGAAAGGAGGGTGGTGTGGAGGTACATGAGGGGCTGCTTCTAGAAAGGCCTTCCAGAGAAGTTGTGTGTGCTGGTGGGGTGTGTGTGGATATACCCTGTTTCCCTGAAAATAAGCCACAGTTAAGTGAAACCCTGCCCTTCACCCTTGTGCAGCAACCAGAAGAAGATTACATGACCGTGAAATAAAACATCCCCTGAAAATAAGCCCTACTGCATTTTTGGAGCAAAAATTAATATAAGACCCTGTCTTATTTTCGGGGAAACACGGTAGGTGAATAGGAAGAGGAAGATGTACATCCACTTCCTCAGGCCTGAGGGAGGAAAAGATCTGAGTGGCTGCAGGATGAGAGGGAAGACGCTGCCGTCCCAGAGATGGGCTGGCAGGACAGGCAGTGGCTGCTTTCTGTACTCCCCTAGTTAGATGTTCATGGCCTGGGACCAGAAGTTGCCCATCGGCCCCTCCCGCTGGTGCCCCTTTGGTATTTTGGGTTTTAATGATGGCATTGGAAGCCAGGCTTTGTTGAAATGGGGGCCCCAAAGGAAGGGGAGGCAACCTAATGGCCTTGGGAGACAAGGGAGGAAGGGTTGCCCTTCGGAGCAGCACCCGGGTGGAGGGCGCACGCACGCACGCACACACACACACCCTCGGAGCAGCACCCGGGTGGAGGGCCTGCTTTGGCCTGGGGCTGGAGAAGAGGACAGGGCAGGCCTGTGTTACACACACACACTCACACACACACACACACACACACACACACACACACACACACACACACCTGGTGCTGTTGCAAAAAAAAAAAATTCCAGGCACTGAAGGGAAGAAGAGGACGTCCAGTTCTCTGCAGGAGCTGTGGCTGGAAGTGCAGTTGCATCACTGCAAGCTGACCCTTTTTTTCCCCCTGGAGACAAAAAAACAAAACTCCCTGGACAAGCTTCTTGGTTGTCTTTGTGTTTTCCTTCTGGGAGCAACAGCTGCCTGGTTGCTTCTCTCTCTCTCTCTCTTTTCTCTCAGCCACGTTGTTGGGAGGGGCGTGCGGGGGCAGAGGAAGCCACAGCAGGGAGGAGAGAACAGTGTGTCCCGAACTGTTTTGGCTACACCTTTTTCCCCTCTCCTCCTCCTCCACCACCACCACCAGCAGTTCTCCTTTCGAAAGGCTCTGGTCTGGGAGCCAAAGAGAGGTGGTGAAGTACTGGAAAAAAGCAGCATCTGCCAAACCGCAAGCCTCAGGCCGTGTCAGCAAGATAGAGAAGGAGAACCCTCCGTGCCTCTCTCCCCATGGCTTCCCAAAAGAAGCCGATGCCCCCCCCAAGGTGGGCAGAACGGGGCTTCTGAGAACGGCCCATGACACTTGGCTCGGGGGAGCAGCCAGCCCCCTCCCCAAGCCAGCGCCTGCCCTCAGGCGGGCCTTTGGCAGCCGCCCACCCCATCGCTGGCCTTCCCGCCTGTTCCAGAGGCAGAGCAAGAGGCAAGGTTGAATGGCAGCGGCTTGTGCTGCCCCCCCTCGCCTCCCCCACCACCACAAAGACCACATGAGAATTGCTGTAACATTTTCAGCCATTCATTAAAAAGCAGCAGGAGGAGAAATTCTCCCAGCCCAGGAGACTGGGGCATCAAAAGCAGCCCAGAGTTTTGCTTTGTTATGCCCAAGGAGGAGGGGGATTTCAGGGGGGGGTAGCGCTGCCGAGAAGGGCTCTTTGTCCTCAAGTCTGATCCTTTTTCAAAAAAGTCCTGGGCTGGTGGCAGGGGGTTCCATAGGCAAAAGGCAGCATGGGTGAGGAACATAATTTTAAAAAAGTGTTTTTAGAAAGTCAATCTTGAATCTTCTGCCTGTTGACTTCAGTGGGTGGTGCATCCAGATAACAGAGGTTTGTGTGTGGGTTGTGGAAATGTTTTCACTCACCCTGTTCTTTATGACTTGCTTATTTTTCAACCTAAGGTGGTGCATGATACAGTTACAAACAATAACGGTGAGAGGGAGGCAAGGCTGCTGTGGCAAGAATGAACCCCACGGCCGAGGCAGTGTGAAAGACGGCACCCCCCCTCCACTGCACCCACCCCCATTCTTGGAGGTAGAAGCTCTGGTCCCCCTGTGGTGCCTGCCTATGTTCCAGCCTGTTTGGACTGCTGTAATGCAGGCGGCCAGGGGCTGCCCTTGAAGTTGGTTCAAGAACAGCAGCTGTCTCAAACAGACGATGTCCTTGTCAGACTTTCTGATTTTTTGGGGCGGGGGGGAGTGATGCTTTTATTATTATTATTATTATTATGTTATTTTGATGTTGCCAGCAAGAATAGTGGCTCTGCTCTTAGTTGGGTGGGATAAAAGTGTACATAAAAATAAATAAATCTGCCTGCTCAAAGGGAACTCTCTTGTGGCAAAGCTCTCCTGGCTATGAAATTCAATTCAAAGGGCTGGCTATGACTCTTAAAAGGTGGGGAACCCTGACCCCCCCCACACACACACACACCATCCCCATACACAGGGCCTTTTCGGGAGTTGCTCAAAGCCTTAAAAGGAAGGGTTTCCAACAGGCCCGTCGCGTCCTAAAAGTTTTTAAAGAGGTGATCTGAATATTTTCAATTCAATCATTTTAATACCGTCATTCGTTTGATTGCCTTTTGACGTGATAAACCTTTGTGCCTTTGTGCCCGTGCTGGTTTCGATCTCTTGCCGTCTCTCTTCCTAGAAACTGCCTTGCTCTTGATTTGTGAGGTGGGCCTCCATTCAAAGGAGCCAGTTTTTAAAAAATCTGCAGAAGCTGAACTGTGGGAGGTGTGGGCAGGTTCGAGGGAAGCCCTTCCTTGTGCAGTTAAATGTAGAGTGAAGACGTGTCCCTCGGCCTGCAAGCCGAAGGGACCGAACCGGGCGTGTGTGTGCCCAAACGTGGCTGAGCTGAAGGGTTGCTTTCTGGGGGCACCACGGAGGAACTTTGCCCTGAAAAAGGTTGGCCTGCAGGTTCTTCTTTACCGTCCAGGAATGAAAATCTTTCCAGCTGTTTCGCTTGATCCACAGGTTGCCTAGGTTTCCCGGGGTTCCAGCGCCTCCCCTCGCGCCCCCCCCCCAGGCTTCCAGAAGGTAACCCTCCGGCTGTGGCTTCCTCCCAGAGGCGAACCCCTCTGGGACCCGGCCCAGCAGGCCCTTGTCGCTTGCCAGCTCCCGGGCACGAGACAGAAAGCAGGGTTCCGCTTCCCGGGAAGAAGAGCTGGGGGGGGGCCTCTTCTTCCTCCCACCCCCCCTCTCTCTCACGGGCAAAGCCCAGCGGACTCACTTCCTGCTGTCAGGGGCCCTCTTGCCTTCCCTGTTTCCTGCAGCTCAGACCTCAGGACGAGGCTCCCTGCTGCTCCCATACGGGGATGTGGGGGGTGTGCAGGGGCCAGCCTTGTCCCCCTCCCAGGCTGTGTTGGGGGAGGCCTTTCTAATGCATGCCTTCCCCAAAGAAAGGCAGAGCAGGTGAGAGTGCCCTGCCTGTGCCCACCTGGCGCCTCCTGGTGCAACAGGTGTGTTGGATCCGTGGGTCCCGTCTCGAACTGCAGGGGGCAGCACAAGAACTGGAAGACTCCAGGAAGGTCATCTCCGGTGGCAGAGCAGCCTGGGGGCAGGCGTGGCA